CCCTCCAATTAGTGTACACTATCGTTCAAAATTTTTGTTTTTAATAGAAAACATTGAAATTTTGACCTCCAAAAAAGCAATGTATTGAAACCGCATCCTATCCAGCAAATTGAAAAGTGAGAATTGCATAACAGAAGTATTTTTCAGATAATGTTATGTGAAGTTTTTGGAAAAACAGATAACTACCCATTCAATTCGCGAAATTCAGTCTGCACAGTGTATTCAGTCTTAGCTAGGATTTTTGCTTTGATATACGAAATAAATTCTCGGACTTAGTGATTCATATTTCACAAGGTCAAAATTCATAAATTCAAGTTCCTTGAAATTAAAACTAGCAACATACAATGCGTCACAAACCAGCCGGTTTTGTCTCATGCATATTTCCTTTACCTTCTCGTTTTAAACGAATGACATGGTTCACTAAATCTAAAATAACATGCCGAATCAAATGATTTTCACAATTTCACTCCATAACTTACTTCATCAAACAAAAATGGTTCATATTGCACAGCTTCACCGAAACGAAGCTTGGCATATCGTAACCATTCCTCATCAGACAATGTATTTCGAATAGCGAGAATTTGATTCCTCAAATATCTTCTCTTCTTATAATTCCCATAACGCTTTGGCACACCAACGTGCATATCTGTCAAATCTGGTTCGTTACACAAGTAAAGTTTTTCGTGAGTGAAAGCATTTATGTCCTGACTGCTTTTATTTATAATGCCCATGCGTAATGTGATCAGAGTATTTTTTCGCGTCAAGTTCAAATCACACGGTGATCGAATCTGCAAGACGTTTTACGGTCAGAACAACTGGGTTAATCAGTTAACGAAACGATTCACAAGGAGCCGCTCATTTGACCAGTGGTCATACCCCCTGGTGCACCCATCTCATATTACTTGGTTTTTTCGTCGAATCTGTGGCAGCTCTTATTGTCTGTTTTAAGATTCTAACGTTATTACTGCCAAAGCACAAACACTCTATGCTACCAAATTTTTGCAGCTAACTTTAATCATGCAATATTTGCCAAGCTAAAATCTATAAATAAACGCATAAGAAATAAAATAAATGGACCTTCAACGCATCTAATTTCTTCAAAAGTGTGTCAGAGATTTCACTGTTATTCATATCCCTATATATGTTGTAAAAATCTTGGTTGGAATAGACACGCTTCTCTGATTTCTGATATAACGCGATCTTGCCTTCATAAGACTTAAACATTTCTTCTTCATATTCCAGTACATTGTTTAAAGCAATCTGCGGAAATTCGTATTCGTTTTCCTCACTCTCCCCATCACTGCTGCTTTTTTGACTATGCCAATTCTTTGTTGTGTAGGGCTAAAAGAGAACTGTTGCAAAGAGAATTAACATTACTTACATCACCCAGTAATGAGACGAAGGTAATTTCAATTTCTACCTTAATTCCAAAAGGAGAAAACTTAAATTTCCGACAAACAATCAGGGTAGTACTTTGTACAGTTAAGTAGTAAAACCATTTTCATCATAAAACTATATATCAATGTTTTTAATACCTACACAGAAGTCTTCAGAACGGTTAAAAAATTCATCGTCATAGATGAGACTGCTAGGCCAATTGTTTCTGGCTCGTAACAGTTTAATTCGAAGTTTTCCCTCAACAGCAAAATCACTGAACAACTTCAGCTCTTTATCGCTATTGATAATTGTGAATGCGGCACCCTGTGTACCTGAAGAACATAAATATTTAGCATATTCAGCAAAAATATAACCACAATTAAATTTGCTACATAATTTTTCGTAACTTTAAACTTGACAATACCAAAACGTCCCGCACGCCCAATTCGATGCAAATAGGTGGCTAACACAAATGGACTTCCATAGTTGACCACAATATTGACGCCTGGAGCATCAATTCCTCGTGCTGTCTAAAATACTAATTAATAGAAAAATGTTTCAACGCGCACAAAGCGTCCTTGTAAATAGGTAACAAAACTGCAAGAACATGAAAAATATCGCACTGTGATCAGACAGCAAAGGAGATTGTGTGAAAAAAAGAGATATGAAAATAAAAAGGAGTTTCCAAAAAACAAACGACATCTTAAAATATGTCGTTTGCTACCGACATCTTTATAAACCTACAAGATCCGTTGAAACAAGTAGTTTGACAGCGCAGTTTTTGAGTTGTCGTATCGCTTTTGTACGGTTAGACTGTGGCATGTTGCCAGAAATGCAAACCGCATCAAATCTCGCCTGTTGTAAATCTGCACAAAGCTCTTCACATCTGAAATGAAATGCATTGAGACTCACTCTTTGAAAATGCTATTTTTCAAAAAATACGTTAAATTTATTACTTGTAATCCTTTAAACCAACACCATGAATAGATTGTAAAACTTATTTTTTATGATCATTGACGAAGATGATACATTGGCCATAACGAAGGCGAAGCAGTAAACGTAGCAGAATATCCATTTTCTTAGTTCCATTGCGGGCAACAATCACATATTGTTTAACACCAAGTAATTGTGCATCTCTGTCCACACGTACCAAATGTATATCTGTAGGAGTTATCATGAACAAATGAAATATAATTTCCAAAGAGATGCAAGAATTTTTCCCGCAGTATTCTGCTAAGGATTTATGATCAAATTTAATAAGTGGTTCTGCTATCACAGCGCATATTATACACTGATGATAATTTAGACCGATCTTACTAATTGTATTGGTCAGGGGAAATAAAACTAAATAAGAAACCTCTCATGTAGCGTTTAAGAGTTGCATCTAGTCGATGCGGATAAGTAGCCGAGAACACAGCTACTTGCTTTTCCGGTGGCATTGCTGAGAACAAGTAACTAAATGAAATCAAATTTAACAGTTAAAAGATAAAGAAATGTTCACACTTCTGTTGCTTTGTGATTTGATATAACAAAATCAATAAAAATTTTAACAATTAGAGATTTGAAAATGATATCTCTCAGTGTTCCAGTTTCGATTTTCATGACAACTTCAACTAGGATCAACAAACTAACTTGATTTCTTTCTGAAAACTATCTTCCATAAGCTTGTCAGCTTCATCCAGAACAAACAACCGTATGTAGGACATCCGCAACGCGTTGATTCGAACAAGATGACAGAGGCGGCCTACCGTTCCAACAACAATGTGAATACTTTTTTTGAGTTTTTGAATATCTTCCGCAACACCCCTCTCATTTCCACCAACAAACATCCTAATAACAACTCACTAATTATGTGACGCATAAAGCCAGCAAAAAAGGTAAATTATGTAAGTTATGTAAATTACAAAAAGGAAAGTTATAAAATTACCCCACATGGATTACAGAAGGAGCAAGCATTCTGATGTAAGACACTATCTGAGAAACAATTTCACGAGTTGGAGCTACGATTAATACTTGTGGACGTCCAAACTGTGCATTCAAATTTTCTACAGCCAGCAATGAAAAGACCATTGTTTTTCCAGTTCCGGATTTTGCTTGCACCAGCAAATCTACAGTATCTGTTGATTAGACTTCAGCCAAATTTTGAAGCAGAAAAGAAGGAAATGTCTAGAAGTATCTAATTAGTTATTATATTACTACACGAAATTTTACAAGCAAAATAAACTACCAAAGCCAAGCATGCCAGGTGGGATTGCTTGTACTTGCACCGGAGATGGTTTGGTGAAACCCGCTTTAGATAATGCATTCAACGAGGTCCGATTAAGCATCAGCGAACTGAAATCGGTCACAGCCGTTTCGACATCCATTGTTCGTATTACTCCCGTATCCATAGCAAACCTGAAACTTCCATATGTTTGAAATTCATACAGCGAAAACAACCTTCCGCAAATTGTCATTTCAATCTCCCCTCTTATCGCGAAACGCTACCGTTCTAGTGCACGTATCATTTCTGACAATCTCTTCACTCATTATTCGATAAACTCTCCATTGGAAAATAAAGGAAGAAGAGTTAACCATGTACGTACCATAGCAGAAAACAGAAATTTTAGAACAGCACCGACCGAGGACACAACGACTTCACGTTTCTTATAAATATTCGGAGTATTACTTTTTTTTGACGTATGAAATGTTATACTTCATAGCGTTTTACGACCTCTCGCAAACTTCTACTTCAACTTCCCGCACTCCCGAAACCTACAATTTCCTACGGATCATGATACTACATGACCTTTGCAACTTGCCTACCAGCTCTGTGTTTTCTGTCGTAAACAAACGCAAACGTGTGGATTAATCCAATGGCTCGTTGCGAAAATATCCATCCTATTGTCAATCCTTCTTGCACATTTTCGTTCAGATGTGCAGAGTATTACTTGTTTTTGATGTATGAAATTTGTACTTTATAGCATTTTACGATCTCTCGCAAACTTCTACTCCAACTTTCCTAGTCTCGATCATATAGTATCATAATCCATAGAAACAATTTTCTATGGATTATGATACTATATGATCTCTGCTACCTGTCTACCAGCCCTAAAAAGATAATTGGAATTCATAAAAGGTGCCTTTATGAATCATCCTTTAATTCTTGATTTTCAGCCGTGATTAGTGACAGAATAGCAAATGGTTTTTTGTTGTAAAAATAAAAATAAAAAGAAGTTCCTCAAGGATGAAAAAACGAGTGCAAGATTTCAATCATCATATTTAAAAAGTGAAATCTGCTTGGAATTTCTGCGCACATAGACCTCTGATAGCTATTTCAACTTTCAATGCCATGTTGTAGTGCTCTTGCCATGCTTCCTCCTCTCGGGCTATTCATTTTCATTTTCGACTGGCGAAGTTCAAAAAATACACCGTTTTGAAGGTCACTCAGTGTCATCGGGGTCAATAAGTACCTTCTTCCTCTATCCACACTAGTCGTTACGTAAAGTATCCTATTTTTCCCTTCCCTTGTACGACAATGTCTGACGTTTCAGTCTCGGAAAAATATGTATGTCAACTGTTTTTGCACGCTGAATTTAAATCACTAGAGAAAGATGTGAAAAAAATTTTAGTTGAAAAAACAGCCAACCAAAGACAAGTTATGACAAAGAAACTGCCAAACTCTTGACCACTAAGCGCCCAAGCATAATTCTGCAAACTGCAGAGAGGGAAAAGTAAAAATAAGGAAGGAATATTTGAAAATTTTTGGGAGTGGAGAAGCATTACTCAAAAATGTGAAAATAAGACATTGGCGTTAACAGTACACTTCGCTCTATGCTCCGTAAAAAGACCATTTTGGAGATATTTTATTATTTGACAACGGAATAGTTCAAATTTGCATATGTACAATTTTCGATGATCAAAAAACTCCACTTCACTTGAAGGAATTTCAAATTTTTTTCATGCGATTAGTTCCAAGTGTAAGCAAATATGAATTGACTCCAAACGACCGAACATATGAAGATCATTTGATCATTTTATTGTAGAGCTATCGAAAATCAATGTGGCTTGTTGGAATGCGACAAAATGCAAAACAATTTATCGGAAATCCGGAGTTCCTTTCCTCGTCTCTAAATCCCTAACATGCAATTTGACTGAGGAAGAGTCCATCCAAGACAGATAGGTGTAAGGTAGGGCAAGAGCAAAACCGCTGCTCAGTTTTATGAAATTTGATGTGGAGGGTCGAAAAAAGCAAATCATAGACAAGAAGATTCTTATCGCTGTAAGAGCGAAACAAATCACTGAACAATTTCACGCTGCGCACTACGATCATCATCTTCCTAAGTTAGATATCTGGCGCAGTTAATTCTTCATTGCATAATTTAAAACAGTGTATCATGCAAAATGTCTATACATATAAATTAAACTATTCGTTGATACTCTTCGCATAATGAATACATGAAAACTGCTGAGAATATCCTATATTTCATTTATGGTAAAGTGACATGACATATGAATTGCCAAAGATTATTGATTTACTCAGTAATATGCAAACAATATGTAATATAATCAAGCTTAAAAAACAAAAAAAAAAAGGTATACATTGCAATCAAATTTTACATTGAAAAGAGCAAGTTATTTCGAGTAGAAAAATATCAACATATCAACACAAGCTTCTTGATATGGAAAACTGATACGCGATGGGATCATTCTCTTCGTGAGAAAGAAATTACTGCTTTAGAGATTGCACAGTTCAAGAATGTACGTTCCTAGCAATTTGATGCCCTGTATATAATTTACCAAATTTATTTTTTCGTTTTGTGAATGCGCCATATCATCTGATGATCCGATGGGCAATAACAGCACACTACTTCTGGTCAGTTTTTGAAAAGTTATGGTCACTGGTATACTACCACCTTCCCGAATGTAATCCGGTTCCACTCCATACACTGAAAAAGCACTTGTGAGACAGTAATGCAAAGCCTGATTAGTGAATGAAAAAGACAGTACCTTTTTGGATGGCTCTCGCTGCACACTGATAGTGAGGATCCTTGAAATCAGACAACCAGTAAACACCAGAATGAAGTGGTTTGACCCTGAAATAAGCTTCGTTCACAACAACTGTAAAAGCAGGACAAAACTTGTAATGGAAAACAATTCTTAAAGTATTTACTCGAAACAGTTGGGAGAGCCTCTAGTCTTCCATAATGAGTTCAAATGATGAATAACAAGGCTGTCCACCTTCGCTGGCTCCATATTTGGTACGAGTCGAATGCTGAACTTTCCAATTACTTTCGCTGGAATGACCGTTTTCGCATCTTCGCCACTAGATGCTCCGATGATTCCTTTAATGAACAGAACACGATTAAAAATACATGAAACGCACAACCCAACCTATTATCATTAAATGTTAGAATTAATCAGAAAGAGCAATAAAAAAGAAAGCATAACAGAAACATTATTATTCATGAAACTCATATGATTATAAATACAACAATAACGAATAATTATAGATCAGATTTTATGAGGATAAAAATCTGCAGTCAAGAAATATACCATGCAATGAAAGAGTAGGATATCTCCAACGATTCATTAATAACTTTTCTTTGGAATCGCTTAATAATTTGATAGCACCAATATCGGCACGATACTCCTCCTATACAATGAATTGATTAGATTAATTCCATGATAATCGTATCAATGAATATGCATACCATATCGAAATCGAGGGTTTCATACAATTTTTTTTCTTCATCTGTTACTGGAGCCACTAAATCCATAATACTTTCGATCATAATACTTCCGTCCACATCCGTTAATTGACTCATTATCCAAATTAAATCTGACATTGGTTCGTATCTAAATTAGAACAAACAGTGTTGGAAAACTGAAATAATTTCATATTACAAAATATTAAAATAATTAAAGTAATTTCACACCGTAGAAATCCATAAAAATATTTGATTTTGGGTATTATCAGTTAAAGGACTTATAGTCTTACCAACACCCAATTTCCTTATTTATTTGATTTTATAAGATCACCATCTTTACATGTAATCCAGCTTGTTTCTTGATTTATGATTCTAAAGGATATCGTTAATAATTTGATTCATTCATCAAACAATTAGTTGCTTAATACTAGATAATTCCTTATCTATTATGATTCTCATTTATGAAATGATTTGCTTGCTTGCTTAACTCTTCTTAATTTCTGGGGATATAAGTAACCTAGGGGAATATAAGTAATCCTCTTCGAGTATTAATTTCACTTATTTAAAACCATTTTCAAAAAGTAGTTTCAAAGTATTTTGGTGTTATACGACAGTATTACCACCAACACCCACTCGAATTTTTTGAACCGCTACTTCAGCAAACATTCCCAAACTATTTCCCCAACAAATAAAGAAAAACAACCATATGATCGACTTTACTACTGATAACTTCTGACAATTGTCTTATAACACTAAAACGAATGAAACTCTCCAGCAAATAATAAACCTTCACCAACCATTCGACAGTGCCAAGAAAAGCTCTCCCTCAATCAAATAAAACTAAAAATTTCACAACAAACAAACAGTACCTTACCTGAAGACCAAAAGGGTCTGTTTGTTATACAGTTTCAAAACTTCAAAAAAAAGATTAAAGCTTATAGCAACAGTAAAACGACTTATATATTGTGATAATTTGCTAGAGTATTTCAACAAGTAATATCGAATTTATTAGCAGCCGAACATAAAGTTATATGAAATTTATGACAATAAATTGCACAAACCGGCAGACATGTTACTTTTTTTTCGCTTTCCAATATCAAATGAGAGCATTCTTTTCATTTCGTAAGAAGGATAAAAATAATACTACGACATGAATAAAAAAGGTCACTCAGGTTATATGTTCATAATGCATTTAAATAAAAATCAAAAATGAACTTACATAGAACCTCCGAACACACCGCTATGTAAGTCTTGCTTGCAACCGGTTATCTCGATGAAATAATAGCACAAACCTCTAAGATATAGCGCATAAATAATAAATTAAAGGAGAGATAATAAAAACTATTAATAGAGAATATAGTGTCACTTTCTCATCAGATCTATGAAAAGCCATTAAGCTAAGTACAAATGCAGATGCGTATTTAAGTGGGAAGAAGTAAGGACCTTAATGCAAGAGAAAATTTTCATAAAATATGCAGTGATTCTAATACTACAATCCATTATGTCAAAAACCAAGCTGGATAACCTCAAGCCGTATGAAATGCAAGGTTTAGTTCTGCCAAGCCAATAACTGTCAGATATGCAAGTGAAGTTGATATCATTCAAAAAAGTGTCTTTTTTCTTTTCCAGTATTTCTTCCAGTCCTAGCGAACCACTTTCTTCCATTGCTTCGAAACAGAACTTTAAATAACAAAGCTAGAATACATAACAAAGAACAAATGCTATGCTGCAAAAAAGCTCAATATTACTTTTTTCGATGATAGTATACGCTTGAAAATAACATATTTTTCTCTTTAATTTTTTATAGAAATATTGATCTCAAATAAAACCAATAGAAACTTCCATGATTCACCCTTTCAAAGTAACTAGAATACTACTGCTCAAAATATATGAACAATAGTGCTCTAAATTGTAATTATTCACATTTAATAATTTTCTATAAATATTACAGCGCTGTTGTTATCTTCATAAAAATTTCAACATATTCAATATACAAAGTATCCAGCCCACCCATAAAAATCATAAGAAGTCTACCGATTAGTACTCGTACATGGATAAATTTCACGTAACTATTCTGATGGATAAATTTCATGTAACTATTAAGTACTCAGTTATTACGAAGTGCTCAAATTATACCTTTATATTGACTGGTATTGGAATTTCACATTTACGCAATGTGTCCAATGCATTTATCCATGCAACTACTGGCCCTTTATCGTCGGTTGAGCCACGACCAAATAATTTTCCATTCTGAAAGTACTTTTATATATAGTTTATCTATATCCGAAGAAAATGATCTAAGAGGGGTAATATTACAATAACGTAACTGAATTTATTATAACAGGCTTTCAGAATTCCCGGAACAGACTAAAGCATTTTGGAAATGGTTCATATTATTGTGACACCCCGTGAGTAGTTTCCTACCTATTCAATATGAAGTAACTGTTAAAACTGATTTCTAGATCTGAAATGTTCAGGAAATCTACTATAAAACCGGAAATGTAAATAATATATGATGTACCTTTTCGACGAGACTGAAAGGTTCCGTATTCCAACCATCCAAATTTTCGGCAGGCTGTACATCTAAATGACCATAAATGAGAAGTGTTTTCTTGGCCTTATCATTACCAAAGGTACCAAATAAAACTGGTGGAAGACTGATTATGGAACCATTTGATAATGTTTGTTTTCCAGTTTCGCACAGCTCCACTTTGGCGCCTAATCCTTCCATTTGCTGAAAACTAATTATTTCACTATACATTTGCTATGCAAGCAGGGTAGACATTCCTCGAAATATTAAATGTGATTTTAAATTAATACTCAATAAAATTAATGACGGACGTCTAAAATTCTGAATGTACTGAATTCCCATACAACATTAGAATCCACGGAAGAATCTATTATTTTCAACTTAAGCAGCATTTAACACTTTCAAATACACTAACTGCATGGTCTGTTCATTAACAAATGGAAAATAACCGCATATAAATCATGCAGTTATAATGCAATCTTCGGTGCGATACTGTGGCTTAATTCTGCCGACAAGAGAGCGATCCAAACACTGCAGATAATATAATTTTGGTACCATTTTTGTCCACTGGACCATGCGTACAACATCTGCACGTCGTTCTGGTTGCCCGGAAACACTTGGTATAGCAATGGCTTCTCGCAATCGCTCAACAAACTTCTTTTGATTCGCATCAACTTCTCTGCAGAATTTACAATTCCCAAAATGTTTCTTCCCAGAGCTTGCTATACAAAGCTGCATATGTAATCATCAGTCATAATGTACACACTACCCAGTTATAGCTTGAAATTTATGTGATTTACCCTGCACAGCTCATTTTTGACTGATGACTATAAAATCTCATTTTTGGTTTTAAATACATAATTTGAGCCATAAGATCTATTTTATACAAAGTGTGTTGACACTTTTGCTTACAGGACCATAACACAGCTACAGTCTTCTCATCTCACTTTAAGCTGCTAAAAAGAGAATAAGAAAGAAAGCAGTATTAGACCGCATTAGGATACACAATTCGGAAATTCTGATTGGAACAATCACCTCCCCGTTTCATAAATTCTGCCGTAAAGAACCTTCCTCTCTTCTCTTTGTATATATGTAATTGTATGTAAATACATATATACACAACTTTCTGTAATCTTATCTACGCATAACACCAATACTTTTTCTTCTAATGAATGTAAAAAAAAAATATATGAAAAATAGGAAGAATTACTTGGCAAATTTGTGATAGAAGTCCATAGTAATGTTAGTAACCAAAGTCACTGAAAACACAAATGGCAAAAGGAATCAATAAGGCAATTACGTTAGCCTCCATTTTTCTCAGGTATCAATTAATCAGCTCTTCATTTTATCCGATCCCATACTAGATATAGTCTTATTCAAATCATCCGAAAAAGGCTTAAAATGTGAGTTGTCATATTACTAATCTACTCACTGTTGAGCCACTTTTGTCCTAATAACTCCACAATATGAAGTTTAAAGAATTATTCTAAATCAAAGAATTAAACAAAACATTCGTAGCGTACAACAGATGTTAAGTCTCATGGGTGTGTAATGAATCATAAAATCAACACAAAAACTGTGTTGACAAAGAGGCATTGATAGGAATACGGCAACAGCTACTCTTCCCCTAAACATAAAAACAATAAATCAATACTGTGAGTGACCTTATTTTCTTCCTCGTTGAAAAAATCAAAATTCCATACATTTCTAGAATTCTTATAAATAACAAGGATGTGAAACAACGGAAAAAAAAAACAACCAATGAAAACCAATAGAATGATTTTTTTCCTAACGGTAGCGAATTATTCGTCATCTATCAATGATCTTTCCATTTTTATGCATCGCTCCACTTTTCTAAAGATATCTCAGACATTATTCTGAAGATTGAAATGAATCATCAATTGGACATTTGCTTCTAAATCGGCAAAGTAACTTCACATTTTGTAATCGTGTAATTCACGAAGGATTTATGTCGCTTACGAAATATATGTATAAGGAACTTATTTCGTTCCCAAGGCAGCTAAACTACTCCTTGGTCACCAGTCACTCTTCTCACTACTTTTAATCTATTAAGCTTCCTATTCTACATTGTTAACCAATTTGCGATGAAGGATAGGGAATGCTCCCAGTCTTTATAATACACCCAGTCATCTACGTTCTATAGCTGAGTTCGAATGACTATTAGGATGAAGCTCTTCTCAATTCGATTCCCATTTTTCGATTTGTAATAAGAGCTATGAGAACAAAGAATGTTCCAATTTACAAAGCCTCAATGCAAGTAGTTTAATAACTTATAGTTTTATATGGAATATGGCGTAAAATGAAACAATACTCTGAACCCTCAATACAATAACTTCAACGTTATTACCAACAAACAGCTGCATTTATAGAATAAAAATGCTTTTATAAATGCATATGCCGAAGTATGGCTACACCATAGCTGCGATCCACCAAACAGAACAACAGCAACCAATCTCACCGATGTTTTAGTGGCGCATTTTGGATTCCCTAAGATATACTTGCATAACGGACACAATGTGACCAGTGTTTGTTGGATTCTCTATAGGTTTTGATTGAAAAAATTCTAGGCATTTGGAAAGCTTCCTGGCTCACAAAAATAAAACTAGACAACACTGAACAACATTCAGATGAGGCAATCCGCTTTGTGTGTACATTCTCATACAAAGAGAATATACATAGGACCAAAATGATGAAATCTATAGAAGTATTCAAAGATTGAAGTATGGGAAAAGAATGATGTAAACGGGAACGGTAGCTTTAAAACACCCTATTTGATTCAGAAAACATTTATTAATACACATTAGTGGTTGACTGGTTCGCATTAAAGCAAATAGGCCTTAATACATCAGCATTTCAGTTTCTGCATGTAACACCATCGTAATCCTTTATTGCACTGGAATAGGACAGATGATGGGTTTTATATACAGTGCACTTGCCAATGGATATCACAAATCACTGTGAAGAAGTCCCAATGAACTCATACTGTTTATAACGAAAACAAGTATTAAATTTAAGTAATAAAAGATTATGGAAGTTAGGTGATCCTTTCTACAATACACTGACAATAATCGTAGAACATAAATATCATCTAACTTATAAACATGAGAGGACTAAGGGGATGTATAGATACTTCGAACAAATAAATAACTTTGTAATAAATCAACGAGTGAATCCTTGAGATCCACAAGGTGACTTACTGTTGTGTTCCATCCAACAATTTATCCCTATCACAGTGATTTAATAGCTAAATATAACGTTTTAAAAATTTGTTCTTTGCTTGTATTCTTCCAGGCTTTTCAAACGAACCGGTGGACGAAAATTGTAATTTGTCCAAATATACGTCAACAGAAACCCGATACTCCCACTAAACCAGCGGTATCTTCTAGAACGCTGTCTGAAAAATGTAACCGTGATACGAAAAAACTGCGACACTAATTCTGGAGTGAAATGTATTATTTCCGTCGAACTCATAATATATAACTGGAGAGTTCTACAGAACCAATTCCTCTCCTACAGATGACTACATTTTTTGTTGGAAAAAGGCATTAAAAAAGAAAACGGTGCAGTTAATTATTAACCTTGCAAATATACGTACAGAAATCCACCAAATTAGAGCGTTGAAAATTGCAGTATATAGCTTTAGCCTGAAAAAAAATGTACAAAAAAAAAACATTCAGAAGTTGAAGATAGTTGTTCCACAGTCTGCATACCGGGAAAGATTTCGCCTTGCTTTTGGAAGCTCTTCCAAACGATCTTTAACGACGTATCGCTTAACACCCATAAGGTAATCGAACAGGTACGAATCCCAATCCAGCTGTCGTACATCAAAATTGAAAATCTATAAAATAACGAGCAATCATATCTGCATTGCTATGTCAGCAATTCTTGCATAACAGGGCAAAACTTTAAAAAAAAAATAAAGCTTCTGCTCAATTTTATATACAAATATGGTAAACTGACTTTTTTATCCTCCTCTGAAGTTGTTTCCCATAACTCGATAAGACCCTTGGAATCAAAATCCCAACCTCGAGCAGTAAAATAATGCAGCGTTTCAACTAGTCTCAAAACTTTCTTATAGATATGAGTAAATCTGCAAAAAAGAGTAAGCGACAAAAAGAAGTCAAATAGGCAAAAAATAAGAGTTTTGTGAAGAGAAGTACCTTATTTTTGGACCCCAGAATGCGCTCACAAGATCGATAAGATAAGCGGGACCCATATGTTTCAGATAAAAATTGAATTCGAACAGAAATCTAGAGGAGTGAAAGTGAGTTGATGGGATGCGATAGCATTCGTTCAGAGGATAAGCGCGGAAAAAGCGTTCGATGAAATTAACAATAAAATTCCACTGAACGGGATTCAACGCTCCTGAACAGCAGTGTATTACCGGTATCGATTCATACCTAAACATTTTCACAATTTCATTTTTCAACAAACTAGCATATTATAAACAACAGCATGACTGCTAAAACACAACTATGCAAATATTACTCGGTGTAAGTTCTGTGAGCCGCAGCAACGATCATCAAATTCGAAACGATATCGACTGGTATTATATCCGCTTTCGCTGAACTGCTGCCACACATGTTTGTCAATACACCCTTGCCGCACTATAAAACACAATCTGTTCCCATTTGCAGACAAAGTGGGCTTAACGTCATATCGACTGCAAAATTCAATACCACGCTGAATCTCTTGGAAATAAAATTCAGATTGTATGAATGCCTTGGAATCGGATAAGAATTAACAGTAAGATGATAATAATGTCTCTAACTAGTACGTATGGATGGAAATATGGATGAGATGAAAAAATTATTAATTTCACTATAACAGAAAAGAATTCAGGAAAAACAAGATACGTTGATGGATGCCTGTTATTAGCGAAATCAAACCCACAGCAGCAAAAATTCCTGTTGGCCCATTGTAATTATCTGTCCAACCAGGAAGGGGATCTCGCCACATGGCTCCTATTATTGATGGCCTCACAATAATTACTGGTAATCGTCTCGCATCTTCCATCAACTGCACCTGAAAAAAAAGATAAAACTGATTGAATATTTGGAACAAGAAGGGGAAAAGAAGTTTGCCAGAAAAAGCATAACGACGAAGAAATAATAATTAGAGAACAAAATGCACCACTTATCAGTCTCAAACATATGTATTTCTCGGAACAAATTTTCTTAAATCTTTATAACTTAAAATCATTCCTACTGCCTTAACTGTTATCATCTCTTAGTGTCCATTTATAAAATATATTTATAAAAGTTTTTTAACAATTAATATAATCATTCTCCCAAAAAATACCTAACACTTTTTTGTGTTTTATTTCTTTAAATAACTATTGTTTCACCGAAACTAACAAAATATGTAACCACCGTCCTAAGCAAAGCATATGGATCCCATTTTTGGAAACAAATTTTTTATGCAAGCTTTCTATTTCAGTTAGTTTCGAACGGTGTCATCAGCAATTGTCTTAAAGAAACTTTTCAACGTATCCTACAAACATCACTACATCTA